ATATAACAATGAGGAGAGTTTTTGGAACATCTTCTAAAACCTTTTTGATAGGAAATGAATGGTTGAATATATATATATCCATTCATAACAATCCTAACTGTGAAATAACTTCTTACTTTGTTTTGGCCACACCTTTTGTTAAGAAAATATGGCAATCATCCATAAAGATAGTTTACCTTAATAATTTTTGACAATGAATTCTCGTCGGATTCTATAAGACTCGCTCAAATAATCAATCCCGCGTTGTAGCATTACTCCTTTGTAAAATAGAAGTCATTGGGTGTGTGCGTTCACATATATTATTAGTTTCAATCTTGAACCCTCAAAGCCTTGGTCAAATTAATAAAATAAAATACAAAAATGCCCAAAACAAAAGGTTAGATGTATAAGGCCACTTTGGTTGGAGATAAATGAAAAGAATGTAACGGATAATAGAGGGAAAAGACGTGTTGTGTCTAAGTATATAATTTTGGAAATGAAAGAAAGAAATTTGAGAAATTTGAAAGGATACAAATTAGGCCTGATAAGTAAATTTTTACAATCCTCTAAAAAATGGAAGGAAATAAAAGGATTACAGAGTTTAATAAAACTTTTTTTAATACCGATAAATTTTTAGCACAACGGTGTACCACTTCTTATTAATATATTTGTCTTCTAAATGTAAAAAACTGTAGTGATAAATGTTTTGAAATAGTTTAATTTTTTTTTTCTTTTTCCAAAAATAAATAACTGTTAAGACTATGATATCCTTTTATGTTCTCAAAATAAGTGTATTATATCCTTCTTCTTTTTTCTTCATAATTGGTGTTTGTATATAAAAGAAAAATAAATATTTACAAGTGTACAGAGAGCATACCTTTAGAAAATGATGGAATTGATCTTGACATAAATAATGAGAGAAAGATCAGCTCCAAACAAAAATAAACAAAAGTATGCTAGCTTAAGAGATCTTGAGTAGCAACATTATAAATATCTAGAACTTCAATTAATATTTGCCTTGCAATTTCTTGAGGTGTTTAAGATGAGTGACCATGAAGCCTTCTATTTCGTTCTTGCCAAATACTCCAAAGAGCAGCCACAAAAATATCGTGTAACATCTTATTATATCCTTTCTATTCATATTAACACTATCTTTTCCTTTTTTTTCTTCAACATGATAAGTTCATCATTATGTTCGTCTCGCATACACAAAACGTTACCAGGGAAAATACTATTTTGAGAATATTATACTGAATGGGGTAGCATTTGAAGAAAAAGAAAAAATTGTAGAGTTTGAAAATAATTTCTAAGTTTCTAACCTTAGCACCGGTAATAATTTGAGACTGGAACGATTTTTTCTTTCTTTGCCAAGTTGTTAGAACGATATATGTCACTGTTAAAATCAGTTGCATCACATATATATTCTTATTATAAAGTCTAAAATCAAAGTTCTTTTTATATTTCAAAAATGATTGACAGGAATAAAAAATCATAGAAGGGAAACTCCTTGAAAGATTTATGTGACTTCCAACAAACCTTTCACCATGAAATGAAATCACTTATAATTAGATTACAATCTTTTAACACTAGTGATTTGTAGACTCTTCTTCAATTATAATAATTTTTTTTCTTTTTCTTTTTTTTTTTCTTTTTTTAACAAGAAACACATTACAATTTATTTTCATAAAATTTTGAATTATCAATTTTTTACTCTAAAAACAGTATCAATGGATTATAATATTTGTTGGTTCAATCTCATTTAGTTGTGGGTTATAACAATAACAAAACAATGGGCCTAGCTACAAATCAATTGGCTAGTCGTCTTCCTTGTTTCTTTTCTTTCTCAATGATTTACCATCTTGTCTATATCTATCTAGTGGACTGTTTAATGGACTGTTTGTGCATAAAACTTACTTTACAGGAAGGTTTTTTGCACTTAATTTATATTTAAAAATAATAATAATTTATTATTCTAAATGGATGAAACTGATATCAAATTTATTAATGCAGTTCAATTATATCGTATCGCAAATTTCTTTTTACCGGTCACCAAGAAAGTAGTGTTGTTTATGTTTAGGATTTCTTGCCAAAGAGTGCAACAAGATGTTAGATGTCAATATATTTGCCTATTTGGTATTGATAATCTCTTATTTTATTCTTTGCCTTGTTTAAAAAAAAAAAAAAAGAAGAAAAAAAAGAAAAAGATAATCTCTTATTTTGAAATAAGATTCGAAGCTTGTCATAGCTATTAAAATAATTAAAAGTATTAATATTTTGAGTGGTGACAATTATTCAGGTCCCATTATGTGCTGTTTGACGTGAAACCATATTGCAGCCATCACTGGCCTTTGTGGTCCCTCGCTATGGTTAAATAACCAAAGGATCCCGTCTTCTTGGCTAGCAAAAGACCAAACATAAAATTAAATGTCAGTTCATGTTTTGTTAGTTTACTCAAGTTCTTCGATATAGACATTAATTTTTTTTTGGGTAAGTATAGACTTATTTTAGAGAAGGAAGGTAAACCTTCTGACGATCCTCTGAAAAGTATGTGTTTGGTGGCCGGTTGGTAAAGTGGTGTTGAAACAAGATATGATATAACTATGAGTAGTAGGCACGGATTTGTCGTCTGCCAGTGAAAGCAATCGTCCTTACTGAATAATTTTTTTTTTTTTTTTTTAATATTATATATATACAATTGCCTCCTTTGAAATTAGTGAAAAAATTAAGTTTCCCCCCTTAACTCGTGTTTCTCGATCCGTCCATGACTATGAGGAAAGTTTTTGGAACATCTGTAAAATCTTTTATTTGACAGAAAATGAATGGTTGAATATATATATCCATTCATAACAATCCTAGTTGTGAAATAACTACTTGGTTTGTTTTGGCCACACCTTTTGTTAAGAAAATATGGCAATCATCCATAAAGATAGTTTATCTTAATAATTTTTGACAATGAATTCTAGTTGGATTCTGCTAGACTCACTCGAATAATCAATCCCGCGTTGTACCACTACTTCTTTGTAAAATAGAAGTCATTGGGTGTGTGCATTCACATATATTCAAAGTTTCAATCTTCAACCCTAAAAACCTTAGTCAAATTAATAAAATAAAATACAAAAATGCCCAAAACAAAAGGTTAGATGTATAAGGCCACTTTGGTTGGAGATAAATGAAAAGAAAATAATGGATAATGAAGGGAAAGGACGTGTTGTGTCTAAGTATATAATTTTGGAAGTTAAAGAAAGAAATTTGAGAAATTTGAAAGGATACAAATTAGGCATGATGAGTAAATTTCTACAATCCTCTAAAAATGGAAGGAAATAAAAAAATACGAAGTTTAATAAAACTTTTTTAATGCTGATAAATTTTTAGCACAATGGTGTACCACTTCTTATCAATTTATTTGTTTTCTAAATGTAAAAAACTGTAGTGATAAATTTTTTGAAATAGTTTAATTTTTTTTTTCTTTTTCCAAAAATAAATAACTGCAAAGACTATGATATCCTTTTATGTTCTCAAAATAAGTGTATTATATCGTTTCTATTCATATTAACACTATCTTCTTCTTCTTCTTTTTTTCTTCAACATGATAAGTTCATTATCATGTTGGTCCCGCATACACAAAATGTTACCGGGGAAAATACTATTTTGAGAATATTCTACTGAGTGAGGTAGCATTTGAAGAAAAAGAAAATATTGTAGAGTTTGAAAATAATTTCTAAGTTTCTAACCTTAGCACTAGTAATAATTTGAGACTGGAACGATTTTTTCTTTCTTTGCCAAGTTGTTAGAAGGATTTATTGTCACTGTTAAAATCAGCTGCATCAGATATATATTCTTATTATAAAGTCTAAAATCAAAGTTCTTTTTATATTTAAAAAATGATTGACAGTAACAAAAAATAATACAAGGAGAACCACTTGAAAGATTTATGTGACTTCCAACAAACCTTTCACCTTGAAATAAAATCAGTTATAATTAGATTACAATCTTTTAACAGTAATGATTTGTAGACACTTATTCAATTATAATAAAATATTATAATGTAATTTTTTTTTTTTTAACCTTAACAAGAAATAAACTTACAATTTATTTTCATAAATTTTTGAATTCCCAAATTTTTACTTTAAAAAGTATCAATGGATTATAATATTTGTTGGTTCAATCTCATTTAGTTGTGGGTTATAACAATAACAAAAGAATGGGCTACAAATCAACTGGCTAGTCGTCTTCCTCTTGTTTCTTTTCTTTCTCAATGATTTAACATCCTGTCTATATCTATCTATCCACGTGTGTGTATATATTTATATATATATATATATATATATATGTACTGATCTAGTTGCCCTAAAAGTGAGGTTACCAACCATCCTTTAAATCATTCAATGAAGACTTCAGAGACAGAGAGAGAGAGAGAGAGAGAGAGAGAACATTTTGTAATCTCATTTCACTTCGTTGTCATAGAACCTTCAAGAGAGTCGTTTTACAAGATGACACGAAAACCGAAATTCAACAGTGGACTGGGTCATTTGGTCACCTTGACACACGTCAGTTGTGTACAGAGTGCTTATCCAAATTGGGTGTCTCTTGTAAAAGTCCACGTTAGTTAAATACAAATCCCTATTCCTTTGCCTGGGATTCGTGTAAATAACTCAAACCTTTTAGTGGTTTAGTGGGTTGATTGGTAGAATCAGAAGAAAGTGGGAGAGTGTATAAATGACGGAAAATTATTGAATACCCCGGCACATACCTCCTGGGCATACCAACTCTTGGTGGCGGATCCCACCACATCTATAATCCAATGACCCTCACTACCCCAGGGTGCCATACCTCCGGGGTATTCAATAACTGCTCATAAATTAGTTGGAAAAATATTTATTTTTTATTTTATTTTTTTTTTCTTTTCCTGACAACAAACACCATACAGAACAACAAAACACAACCAACAACAAAATCCTTAACCATTAACATCAACCAAAGCAAGGCGTAATATCCGAGATGGAATAAAAGGCAACAGTCCATCAGCCGCCACTGAGGCACGAGAAAGCATCGCCAAAGGCATGAGCCACCTGATTACCTGTACGCCCCACATGACTTAAGGAAGCCCAACGAAAAAGCTGAAGATTCGCCTTGATATCAAAATAAAGAAAAACAATTTCAGATGGATAATGCGCTACATCCCCCACGGCTTCAACAACCACCTTAGCATCGGATTCAAACCATAAAGAAGAATAACCCAAAACTGAAGTCCAATAAATAGCTCGTTGACAAGCTATAGCCTCCGTTGCCATGGCCGACGAAGCATAGAACAGGCAAAACACAATCGCCTGAAGAACCACTCCTATAGCTCCTCCCCCACCCATGGATGATCTCGGGCTAAAACTTGCATCGAAATTACATTTAATCTTACCTGGACGAGGAGGAACCCAACGAACCATCGATGGCGAGTCCTGTGCCTGGACAAAAGCTTTACACTGGGACTTAGCGTCCTGAAATTCCCAAAAACTCGTAACGGCCTTATCCACCACTTCCTCCGGCCTCCATAACACCCCTTCAAAAAACTAAGCGATTCCTCGCTTTCCAAATACACTAAGCACAAAACGATATTAATCCAAGAACCCCTGAATAATCTATTGACGAAACAGCCTGCTTCACCAAAAAACACCACCCATCCACGAAAGAATGAAAACAAATGCTGAAAAATCAAAACGAAACGAGGACAACTTCCACACCTTTATGGAATGAGGGCACAAGAACAAAAGATGCACAATCTGGACACAAAGGCGACACATCACATCCACTCACCAACAAAGAAACCCCAATAGGCAATGCATGATAGCAACACTTCCACAAAAATGGTTGCACTTTTGATAATGTATTGCACCATAAATTGAAGACCAAGAAAAATTAGTCGAAGCAGCAACTGAAGACAAACTCATCCAGATAGCAAGATAATAAACGGAACGAACAGAAAATTTACCCGTCATCTCAGGCGCCCAAATTTGAACATCCGGTTTGTCCCACCGGTTAACATGCATTCGCAAAATTGCCTAAACTTCAAGTAGAGAGAAAAGTTGGTGCAACACATTCACTTTCCAAGTCGACTGTTGGTGATTAATCAAATCCGCAACATAACAACAAGGAACATCCCCCTGTGGTGGTAAAAGTTTCTAAAGGAGCGCTAAGACCCAATGATCATTCCAAATATGCGTAGATTTACCATTTCCAATCAACGATCGCAACCCCCCACGTAACAGTGTCTGAGTATACCAAATACTACACCATCCCCAAGATGGATTAGATCCCAACAAAGTGTCCAAAAATGAGCATGAAGGAAAATACTTTGCCTTATATAACTAGAACACCAATCCCTACTGATCAACCTGAAAGCACCAAGCATGTTTCGCTAGAAGCGCTAAATTAAACGCCTCAAAATCCCAAAACCCAAGACCACCACTTTTCTTATGCTGACATAAATAATCCCAAAGAATCCAATGAATTGCACGATGTTTATCCTTATTACACCACCAGAAAGAACGAATATGCTTCAACAAATTAACACACAACGTACGGGGGAGCTTGAAAGAAGACATCATATATGTAGGCAAAGCACTCAACACTGCCTTAATCAATACTTATTTGCCACCCGCCGACAGAGATTTTGCTTTCCAAGATGATAATCGCTCTTGTAATCTAGTTAACAAAAACTGAAAGACATCCCGATTGGACTGACTTAGAACAACCGGTAATCCTAAATATCGACTATGCAACCCTTCCACCTGTAGGCCCAAGCACTGGCTAAGAAGGCGGGGTAAAGAACATGGAGTATTCTTAGAGAAAAAGATAGAAGATTTACTAAAATTCACTTATTGCCCAGATGCTCTCTCATACTTTGCCAATTTTTTTTTCAGAAACTGAACCTCAGACTCCACCGCCGCATAAAAAATAATTAAATCATCTACGAAGAATAGATGAGAGATGGAAGGAGTTCTTCTACAGATTTTAATGCCAGACAACAATTGGGTTTGTTGCGCACGCAGGAAAGTAAGTGAGAAGGCTTCAGCACAGATAAGAAAAAGATACGAGGATAGCAGATCACCCTGGCACAACCCCCGCGAAGGGTGGAAAAACCAACCGAATTCCCATTGATTTTAAGAGAGTAAGAAACAGTAAAAATACAAGCCGAAATCATTTTGATCCAATGAGAATTCAACCCTAACTGATGCAGCATTTGAAACAAAAATTCTCACTAAACTCGATCATAAGCTTTACTTATGTCAACTTTCAGAGCCATAAAAGCTTTCCTCCCCTTCCGCTTATTTTTAAAAAATGCTGGAGCTCGTGAGTAATTAGGATATTATCCGTAATATGGCGACCTGCAACAAAAGCACTCTGAGATTCACTGATAAGGGATGAAATAATCCCTTTCAATTTGTTAGTCATAACTTTAGCGATAATCCGATAAGAAACATTACATAACGATATAGGCCGATAATGACTGACTTGAGTAGGAGACTGAATTTTAGGAATTAAAACAATATTCGTATGATTAAGGCAAGATAACAAGTGCACAGTGGTGAAAAAACTAGAAACTGCATGAACAACATCAAATTTAATTATCTCCCAATATATCTGATAAAATAATGGTGTCATTCCATCAGGTCCAAGGGCTTTCATCGGGGCCATAGAGAACACGACCTGCTTCACTTCCAACTCCGACGGAGCTAACAGAAGACTGGTGTTCATCACCTCAGACATTCGCCCAAGAATATACCGCAATATTTGTAGGGTTAGATGAGTGGAATAAGTGCTGAAAATAACGTAGAAACACTGAATTAACCGAAGTCTCCTCAGTCACCCATTGATTTCGTTCATCAAAAACACCAGAGATCGTATTTCGAGCTCGCCTCCTCTTTGTAGTGGCATGGAAAAATCTAGTATTACGATCCCCCGTTTGCAACCACAAAACACAAGATTTCTGTTTCCAAAAAAGCTCTTCCTCCAACCAACAAGAGCTTAACACTTTTTCCATCAAAGCAACCTTTGCATGGCAATAATCGGCAGTCCTAGCTTTCAACTCCTGAAGCCGACTGACCGCACTATCAATATGGGCTTTGGAATTAAAATTTTTAATTTTAGCCCAATGGATAAGATCAGCTTTGCATTTACGCAATTTTTGAGCCCACCTAAATTGATAAGAACCACTAATCGGAGTAGACCAAGTTGCATCAATGATGTGCGCACAATCACTCATACAAGTCCAACGAGCATCAAAGTGAAACTGCCTTTTCCGAGGTTGGCACAAAGGTTGAAGGTTTAGCAGCAACGCAAAATGATTTGATCCCACCACTGTAAGATGGGATAATTGAGCTTTTGGGGAAAAAAAAAACCCAGTCTTGTATAGCCAAAGCCCGATCAAGGCGCTCCTGAATACTAGCTATCCCATCCTGCTGATTGGACCAAGTAAAAGAAAGACCCACATACCCAAGATCCAGCAAAGCATACTGATCAATCAAAGATCGGAATGAGCGAAACTGCTAGATTTGTTTGGCCCTTCCCCCATACTTTTCAGATACATGTGAAATATCGTTAAAGTCTCCAATAAGCACCCAACGACTAGACCAAGAATTAGCCCTAGTTGCTAAATACTGCCACTGCCAAGTCCGCACCCGATCATTTGTACTAGCATAGATAATAGTCAAATTCCAAGGAGGCCGAGTAAGCGATAAAATAGTAGCAGTAATATAAAACCTTGTTTTATTTAACACTTTCAATTGAACAGTATCATTCCACCAAAGAGCAATGCCCCCTGCAAGACCGACCGGTTCAACCGTACAGCCATGTGAAAAGTCCATCATGTTTTTTAAGTAGAGTAGCCGCCTCCAACCATTCTTTGTTTCAATAAGGCCAAAATTATTAGGAGAAAACTAAGCCTAGAGCTTATTAAGTTGCTATACAGTCGAAAAAGAACCCAAACCTTGACAATTCCAAGCTATAATTTTTAGAGTTCCATTGTTTGAGTTAACGGGACTCGCAATCGTAACAATCTCCGGCCTAACCAGCACTCTTAAAGAAGTAAAGGAAGAAGCAAGCGACTAATTAAATTGAGACTGAGAAGTGACAGAGGAAGATATTACCTGTGCCTGCGAACAGAAATCAGTAGAGAGCTGTTGACGTGTATTAAACCCCATATGGCGCACAACCGGCCCATGTTCAAAATTTGCCTATGCAGAGACTCTAGAGCCATAGATCTGCCGAATAAGTTGGGCTTAAAAAGACTCATTAGGCCCAAAAGCACTGAAAGCCCAACCCACAAAATTAGGGTAGCGAATGGGGCGCAAGAAAAGGTTGGAAAATTTAATCAAATCTCTTTGACAAGTGCCTAATATGTTTCTCTTTTCTAATTTTTTTTTTTTTTTTTTTTTTTTTCTCTTTTCTAAGTTTTTTTCTTCCCCTCTTTTATTTAATTTTTCGTTCATTGTCAAATATATGGTCTAGAATGAACTTTTAAAATTTTAAGCTACAATAAAACATTAAAAGAATTACAAGATGCCTAATATGTTTCGCCTTTTTTTTTTCTCTCTCTCTCTCTCTTCTAAGTTTTTTTTCTTCCCCTCTTTTATTTAATTTTTTGTTCATTGTCAAATATATGGTCTAGAATGAACTTTTAAAATTTTAAGCTACAGTAAAACATTAAAAGAATTACAAGATGACACATTTGACGTGAGTAGGGCGGTGTGGAAGTTGTTTTGTTGTAAATTGTACTCCAATGACTTAGAGGGGGTGAATAACTCAACTTACTCAATTCATTCTTGTGACTGATCAATTACTCACCATAATTACCAAGGTCACATCCACACTCACAAAAATATAAACAATAAAGTAAAACAATTAAAGTAGATACCGAGTGGAAACTCTTGTTGGAATTAATAAATCTGACCATCTATGATGAAAACCACGTAAAGTTTCACAGTCTTGAACGAAACAATTCACTAATGTCAAAGTAAGTACAATAGACTCTGACTCAGGCTTACATGCACTTCGCTGGACTAAGTACCAATCGATGAACATCTTTCTGACTTTGCTATTCCTCCACCTAAACATGCTAGACTTCAGGTTTACTCCTTGATCTTTGCATAATGGTTGCTAGTACATCAACACTCCTTGAATGCTCTGACCCTTTGTAGTGTGATTGACTCCCTCCTCTACCTTCAAATCGGAATTTTGTAAAAGTTAGAAAAAAATCCTGCTAAACTAATTAGTTTCTGAAGATTTCGTATTGATCAATACGAGAACATCACGCTAAATCACTCTTGCGATAAACAATCAGATTTTTCTAAAAAAATCTCTTAAAAAGCTTTAATGTTCATGTAAAAGATTTAAAAGTTATTTTTACAATTGAAGAAATCAATCTCCTATAGGGTTAGAGATAGATGAT